TTGGTGGAAGAGGCCTGGACAGGGCCAGGAGCTTGATTTGCAGCCCCCGCTCCACCCCTGCCACAAACATTTGAACTGGGGAACTGGGGAACTGGGGAACTGGGGAACTGGGGGAAAGTAATCCCTAATGGAGGCCAAAGGCCAAGCGAAGCAAGGCAGACAGTGGGCAGGAGTCAGGATTGTGAGTACAGGCTGTTCAGGCCCAAGCCACCATCCTGCAAATGGCTGTGCTGCTGGCCCAGTGCACAGAGCCTGGGGGAGGAGGTCCCCAGAGAGAGGCCCTGGATGGGGAAAAGAAAAGAGGTGATGAGGGAGGCTGACATAAGCCCAGGCTTGGGGTAGAGGGAGCAGCCTGCTGCAACACTGAGGGGAAAATGCATCAGCCTGTCCCCTTTCCATAGGGTCTCCTTCTCTTCGCCTCACAACCCCAGCGCCAGGCTGGGGACCTGCAAGGATGGGTTTGCAGGCAGCATGAGGCATGCAGGTGGAGCTCAGCCAGGTGTTTTTCCATCCCAGGTTGGGGGAGGGGAGGAGGAGAGAAGGGAAAGGAAGTGTCAGAACAAGAAGGAAGCTCGTGTACAGGCTGGACAGGCTTTTAGGAGACCTGGCTGCCCAGGCCCTAGGCACGTGGCTGCCCCTCAGTTTTCCCGTGTTGAAATGGGGGCTGGCAGGAGGCTGTTGGCGATCTGAGTATTGGTGCTGTGGGTCCTGAGAGGCTGAAAGGGTGAGTGTAGGGGCTGTAGGGAGTTTGGGAAGCAGAGGCCCCTTTCAGGTACTCATTGCTGAAGTGCTTGAAAGGGGAAGGTGTTCTGCCTTTCTTTCCTTTCAGATGTGCAGTCCTCCTTTTCCATGAACCCTGCACTCCATGACCACGGCCTGACCCAGCCTTGGGCTGGACACTGGAGTCCCAGCGCTTAGACAGACCCAGGTCCTGCCTCAGAGGAGGTCCCTCCACAGTCTCGTAGGGAGCCAGACTTGTAATCAGATAATTTTAGTACGGAGATGAGTTCAGAATGCTATGAGGTCTCAGAAGAGATGACTAACTGCAGTCTGGAGCTCTGGAATACTTTCTGGAGGAAGGGGCATAAGCTGAATCTTGAAGGCCAACAGAAGTTAGCAAAGAAAGAACTGGACAAGAATACTCCAGAGTATGGAGGTGTGACTCAGCTTTGGCCGGCTCTGGGGACTGCAGTAGCAATAGGGAGAGGAGCAGAAGCCAGAGCGGGGCACTGAGGAGCTCTGGGAGGCTCCAAGCTGGGGGTGGGATGATGGGGTCACATATGGACATTGGAAAGACCTCTCTGGAGAGAGAGAGGGAATATTTCCCACTGCTTCCGGTACCAAGCCATACCCTTCAGTGGCTGGGCTCTTGGCACAGCCAGAATGAGGACCCTCTCTTGACTCAAGGACCAGCCCCTATTCCTCAGGCCTCTGTGCCAGCCCCATTCCCGCACAGGCACATACCATGCTGGAGTGCCCTGGGCTGTCTGCCATCTGCCTCTCTTACAGTTCTGGGAAACAGCAGCTGGGGCCCACTCCCAGCGAGCACAAAGCCTGGGGGTCCTCAATATTTGGTGGGAGGAAAGATGGGAAGGACAGTTAACCCATACTGGCTGTTACTTAATTAAAGAGCTCCCCCCTTCCTTGTGATTAGGCCCCCAAATTATTGCATATGTGTTTTTTTGGTTTTTTTGTTTTTCCCCCCTCTGTAGCCAGTAGGCTGGCAGGCACCATCCTCCAGGGAGCTCCATCCCCCTTTCTCTGCCTTTGGGAGCCCCCTCTGAGAGACTGATTTCCTCTGGAGGGAGGTAGGGCTGCCCCCTCTACTCTCTGCTCACGGTAGAAAGGCAACAGGTTACTGTGTCCCAGCCTCCCCTCCAGAAGAAAGCTCTTATTTGTCAATGCACTTTTGGAAGTGGCTCACCTCACTCCAATCAGACCCAATGACCCTGACCCATCCCCAGGTCCTATCCAACCCACATGCTCTGAGCCCACACTGCCAGCCACTGGTATAGCTCAACCCTCAGGCTCTGTGTGCTTCCATAGCAGAGGGTTCCTGACCACCAGCTGTGCCTAAGCCGTCTCTTAGAAGGGTTTGGCAAGGGAATCCAATTTACTCCATATCTTGGGTATGTGGGCCATATGCTTCACCCCTTCTCCTTTAGAGCTACCACTGGTTGAGGGCTCACTGTAAAGAAATCTGTGAACTTACTGGATCCACAGAAGCCCTGGGACATATCCTAATCATACTCATTTGACTGAGCAGCAAACTGAGAGATCAAGGGGCTTGCCTAAGGTCACAGAACTCAGTAGGTCAAACTTCAGTTTATGTGTTTTCAAACTCTTGCCTCATATGGTTGTTGTAAGAATTAATTGACATAATGTTTATCAAGTGACTGGCACAGGACTGTGCTCCAGGTAGGAGCTCCTTGCCTTGCCCATCCACCGACACTGAGATACTCCTCCGTTGGGAGGAAGTAGAGAGTGCAGAGAGGCTATAAAAGCAGTCCAGGGGCCTTCATGGGGGAGGCAATGTCTGTAGCTGGGTCTGAAAGGACTGGGGAGAGCATTGCTGTATGTCTTGGGAAAAGGTGCCACACCTCCCTGTTTCTCTGCCTGCTGGCACCATATCTCCCTCGTCTAGGGTGAGAAGGAGCTCTTCCAAGGAAGAAAGAGTTCTGTAAATAGCAGGTGTGGCCACATGAAGAAGCTGAGGTTTGGGGAGCTGGCCTTTCACTTTGCTTTCCCAGGAAGCCAGGAGTAGTAACCTGTGTCTGGGGTGGGGTGGAAGAGGAATGTGTGCCTGTGGAGCCTGCGCATGCCTGGTGTTGTGTGTCTGTGAGTGTGAAACCTCCTTCCCAGACTCCTCTAAGCTACTTTTCTTTGTTAACTCTGCCCAGGAAGCCCACATAAAGACAGACTGTTTCTTCCAAGCTCAATACCATTTCTTCTAACACTACAGTCTAATAAACACATGGGGGCTCCCAGGACAGCCACATTGTATTGATTACCTCCTGTCATCAAACAAAGCCTTGATAGCCACCTCTCTCCATAGGTTCTATGCATGATCCTTGGGGTAGAGAAGAAAGGGGCAAGGTCAGGGCCTTTAGAAACTTGCAGTCAGCTGACATACCACAGAACTTTTTTCAGTTTATAAGCAATTTCCCACACTGATTTTGTTTGACATTTACCTTGGTCTATAAGGCAGATCTCACCGTTTTCATTTTGCAGATGAGGAAGTTGAGTCTTAGAGTTACAAAATGGCTGTCAAGTCCCCCACCCTGTGTCCTTTCTTTTATATTCTACTGTGTTTAAGTGATGCTGAAAAGGAATGGACAAGACACTGATTAAGTGAGCTGCTGCTTTTGTGAATGTCCTGACTTAAGACAGGACCCAGTGGGGTGAGTCTTATCAGGCTCATCCTGGCCTGGGTGGGCCTCACTCAGGCTCAGAGAGACTGGAAAGAACACCAGGCCACCTGAGCACAAAACCTGAGAGTCCTAGACCCCAAGAGTTGAGAACACTGCCCTCCTTCCACCCCGCAAATAGCAGGGCAAAAGTAGGGCAAGGAGTGGTGTGCTAGAGGAGGGGGAAGGGTAGGCAGAGTTGGTGAGGAGTAAGAGTAGGGAAGAACAAATAGCCTTTGATCTGAGGCTTGGCTATGACCACTGATTGTCAGCACACAGATGCGCTTTCCTGATGCTAAGGTATGACCTTGGGAGCCCCCTCTGAGACTCTGCTCCCATCTGAGTCTCTGCTCCCCAGATCTCTCCAGACTATTCCTAAGGCCCCTCCAGCTCTCAGCTAAGTGATACCCTCTCCTCTCCTCCCAGCTGACCTCCACTCCCTCTTCCTATTCCTACCTGTAGTGTCTAGCCCGTTCTCCTCAGCTCTAACTGCTCCAACAGCTTCCTGACTCTTGGAACCTGGGACCTCAGGCCTGCACTGCCTTCTGATTCAGGCAGCCCTGGCCTTTGGGATCTGAGCAGGTGGCCTGGGAGGTTTTGCCCCATGAACTTGCTCTCTGACCTTTGGCATGTCTGCCTGTATCCCCCTCCTCCATTGTACACACCTGTCCCCAGTTCTTAGGCAGCACAGGAACTGACTGGGTTTCTTTAGAGAAGGTAGCAGTACCAAGGGGCTTTTCATACCAAATCAGGTGGCCCAGAGATTTGGGGCAAAGGGGGCAGTGCTTCCACCCCTCCAGCCTCTCTCTTGTCTACATACCATTCCTGGCTGGGAATACTCACCCCATCCCACCTCTCAGGCTGCACATGCTCAGGCCTGTCTTATTGAGGGAGATTTGACAAAAAAGTTCAGTTCACTTAGCACCCACTCCCTCCCTCACATTCATTCCTGGCACACTACAGGGATGGGAAAATCGCCCCTTCCTCAAACCGGTGTGGTGCCCTAACAAGGGTTGAGATACATCAGTCTGGAATTCGTCCTCACTGGCCACTGAAACTAAGGAGCCTTTCTCCAGCCCCATAATGCCATTAGTATTGGCCAAGGGAGCCAGAGGACCTACTGTGTGCCAGATATTTTAATACAACCTCTTCTAAGCCTTACAACACAACCACTATGGCAAAATTTCAGTTTTACTAAAATTATGGAAACTGAAGTTCAACAAGATCAAGTGGCATGCACAGGGCCACGTAGCTAGAAAGTGACAATGAATGAATAATCTAATGGAGTGGCTGAATGAAGGAGGCCGTGTGACGGGCGCCACTTGCACTGGTTCGTGGAGTGCCGTGGGTACAGGCAGTGCATCACACTCGCAGCCAGGTCCTCGGAGGGTTGGCCCACGCAGGCCCTCCGCATCTTGGGCCCGGGGGAGCGCAGGATCCTAGAGGCGTAGCCGGGCTCTGCCCCAACCGCGCTGGCCGCCCCGCCCCCGCTCCGCCCCCAGCCCTCCCCAGCCCGGACCGCAGACGGCGCCCGGCGGCGGCGCGAATAGCCGCGAGGAGGTTGGCTCCAGGCTCCGAGCTCACCGCGAGTTCCCGCGCAGGGCCCAGTGCGACAAGGACCCACGGCCTCGGCGACGCTGGAGGATGCGGCGGCGGTTCCGGGCGGCAGCAGCGGGCCGCCTGACGCCTTGCAGGTAGGAGCTCGGCCGCTCGGCCGGCAGGGAAACTTGGGCCGACTTTGCGGGAGGCGCGTGGGGCAGGGGTGGGCGGCGCTGCCCTAGGGCGCCCCTACCGGCGGGCCCGGGGAATGGAGAGCGCGGGGCCTGAGCCAAGGGTGGTGTGGCTCCTGGCTGCCGCCGGCCCCCAGCGGAAGGGCTGCGGGCCCTGGGCCGCGCCACTGCCCCGACTCTCCTTGGACTTTGAGGCTCCCAGGGCCGGTAGCGCTCTGGAGCTTTGGCAGGGCCCCGGAGCGGGGCTGGAGAGAAGGAGCGCGGGGCCAAGCCCTCGGGCCTCCTGCAGGGCCTGGCTCTTGTGGACTGTACGCGCGGAGCTGTGTGAGGGGATGGGGGTGGGCGGCGAGGGTACTGGGCCTGGGGGGCGGCGGGCGCTGAGGCGCCGCGGGACCCTGGACGCGCCCTGCTGGGACGGGGCGGCCCTGCGGTTTCTCGCTAAGGCTTGACTCACCCTCTGGCCGCAGCCCAGGCTGGCGGGATCGCCCCGAGGCTATGACTGCTTGGATTCTGTGGCCGGGCCGCCCCCTGCTCCGGATCTCCCGCCAGTCTTTGGGTGTCGGTCGGTGGGTCTCGATGAGCGGGCCTGCGTGCGTGCACACGCGTGCCGGGGCCTGAGCGAGGGGAGAACGCGATACTGGAGACGCGTGTGTGCAGATGTGGGCCATGCACGTACTTGTAGACAAGGGTTTGCCTGCGTGGCGGCAGCCTGTATTTCAGCCGGCCGGGGTGCACGTGCGCCCCAGTGCCGCCGGGCAGGGCATGGGGGACACCCGGAAGCCCCAAGTCCAGGCGGCTGAGGGCCCCAGGCACTCGAGTTATGGGCAGGGCAGGTAGAGGAAAGCGGGTAAAGGCCAATCCTGCGACTCTTGTCCCTCCACTGTAGCCTGGGCTGCCCAGGTTCGGTTCTAGGGATAGCAGGGCCCCAGAACCTCAGCTGGGGGAAGTGTGAGAACACGGGGAGGGTGCCCTAGTCAGTCTTTTGAGAGAGGGCAGACGCTGGCCACAGCTGGACAGGATCACTCTCTTCTTCCTGGTCTTTCCCGACGTCCATCCAGAGAGCACCCCCTGGACGTGGAAGAGGGAATTGGGTCACGGATCTGTTTGTCTCCCCGGCTACTTAAGGGCCCGGAGGGCACAGCGCTGGTGGGCTATACTGCCCGGGGCCTTGGCTGAGGTTGGTCCTCCCAGCCCAGCTCCAGCCTCAGCCAGCAAACACTGTGGTGGCCCAAAGAGTAATGAGACGCTGCTCCTTGGAGTCCCATCTTTCTCCAAGCAATTGTTTGCCAACTCAGTATGTGTGTGTCAGGAAAGGAGGCTACTGTCTTGAGTGGAGCCGGGGCCTCACTTGAGGGAGTGTATGCTGGGTTCTCCATCTCCTGGACAGGAAGTAAGGTCACCTCCATACACTTCATAGTCCTCTCATGGCTCTCTGGAGACTCCTGTCTCCTAAAGACTCCTGAGGGTACAAGGGGTGGCCTCACCTCTCTAGACTGGGTCCCTGGGCGGTGTCTCGGGAAGTCTCTAGGGCAAAGGTACAGAGTGGGCAGAGCCCAGGAGAGAAGGACTCCTGGGACTGGGGGGTGGGTATGGAGGAGGCCCCAAGGAATATGTGGGGGAGGTGAGGCTGAGCCAGCACTTACTTACTCCAGAGCTCCTGAGGGCAGAGGGTGGCTCAGCACCCCACAACCATACAACCCTTTTAGAGGGGGAGAGGAAGGGAGAGAGAGAAACAACAATTTGTTGTTCCACTTATTCATGCATTTATTGGTTGATTTCTTGTATGTGCCCTGATCGGGGATCAAACCCGCAACCGTGGCATATCAGGACGATGCTCTAACCAACTGAGCTACCTGGCGAAGGCCGTACAACCCTTTCTTGTGAAGCTGTGTTCCCCTAAGATGCAGTCCCTAACCTAGGGCACTGGTGTCAATACTGTGGTCCTGAAGCCCCTGTCTTCTTTTGGAACATCCCTTCTCTAGGCTGGTTTGAGGTGTCAGTTTCTGGCTAGGAGATGGGCCAACTTTCTGAGAGTCCCACCTGGCTTCCTTGGGGTAGGAGTGGGCACTGGCCCATATACTACCTTTGGCTTTTCCTGTCCCCAAAATATGCTGGTCTAACACTGAGCCTGTGACTGTCATTGGCTACCAGCCAGAAGGGAGGAGATGGCTGGGAGAGGAGGCTGTTCTTGTCTTGTTGTTGGTTATAGAAACCTGTGACACCTGGCTCATGGCCTAATCATAGCAAGATTGAGCTGATTTACTTTTCCTAAGCCAGCTGAGGGTTTCGGGGAACAGGGTACTGGGGGAGGTAGAGGGAGGTCAAGTGGTCCTAGCAGACTGACCTCATGACCCCCCCCATAGGTCATTGAGTGCCTGCTGCCTTGAGGAAACCCATGCTTGACCTCTGTGGGCCTGGGTTCCAGTCTTTGCTTGGCTTTGCTTCTGGGCCTTAGTCTCTCTCTAGCTAGCATTAAGTTTTAACATCGATACAATGAGGGTAGTTGCAGACTAGCACTCCCTGGCCCCTGGAGGCTCCCTGCCTGGACATTCACATCCTCCCACTTCCCCACCTGCTTGCCCTGGAGCTATGCTCCCACCACGTGCCTGGGAACTGCCAACTGCAGTTTATAGATGGATGGACGCAGGCTCTCATTCCCTAACTTTTGGGACCTTCCTGCTGGTGTCACAGCACCATCTGCCGGACAGCCTTGGTTCTCCTGTTTGGGAGTGGGGCTGGGGTGGGAAGGGTGTGGTTTGTACAAAGCAATGCACCTGGCCACTTCTCCTGGGGGACCACCCTTCAGAAACACACCCAGTATCTGTTTTGCTCTAGCGTAGGGACCTGGGTTCCAGGCCTGGCTCTGCCATTTTTTAATAAGCCTGGCAGGTCAGATCTTGTGTGGAACATAAATGACTCCAGCTTCCGGGTAATGTGCCATCTTTGCATCTGGGTGAACCCAGACCCTCGATCCCCTCCCCTTCCCCCAGGTCAGCTCTGGAATATGTACACAGAGTTTTTGGCTAATCACAGGATTTTCATTAGTTCTCTCTCCAGGGCGAGTCGCCTTCAATGTTATCTATTTCTAAACTTGCTCTGGCCCCAGAGCCCTCTGGCACCTGATCACCCACACATTCTCACTGCTTAGTAGATACAAGCACGTGGGTTGGGGGGTGGAAGGTGCGGGCATCCATTTTGTCTTGTTGCTGTCCAGGACTGAGTTTCTGTACAGAAGTTCCCTATTAAATTCATTGGCTGAGAAGCTAGACTTGTCTGCCTCATTCTTTGCTCTCGGCTCCTTTGGGGTACCGGGACTGCTTTGCATATATAGCCCTCTTCCAAAACAGATCAAAGGGTGTTACAGGCCCTGACTAGTGTGGCTTAGTTGGTTGGGTGGTGTCCTATAAACAGAAAGGTCGCTGGTTCGATTCCTGGTCAGGACACTTGTGGGTTGTGGGTTCTGTCCCCAGTTGAGGCGCTTACAGAAGGCAAACAGTCAAAGTTTCTCACGTCTGTGTTTTGCTCCTCCCTTCCTCTCTCTATTAAAATAAACAAACAAATAAATAAATAAAATTGTTTAAAAAATAAATAGATGTCACAGGAAATCTGAATTTGTAGACAATGCCCGATTCCACATCTTGGCTGCAGTGGATATCTTGAGTTCACTCTGGGACCTTGGACTAAAGAGCTTGTCATGGGAGGTCAGAGCCTGCCTCTCATACCATCCCTTTCATCAATTACTGGGGGTTGAATGGGTCTTGTATATATATGGGGGAGAGAAGTAGCCATCAGAGTGACCCTCACACTGAAATGTCCTCAAAGTCTGAAAGCCCAAGGAAGTGGTCTTGGGAGTCAGGTGAAGGAAAGTGGAACAGAGGGGCTCCTGGAGTGGGGGTGAGGGAGTATCTGTAGGGCTGCTGCACAAGAATTCATTAACAGAGGGTTCTGCAGCTTAAAATATAAAGTGGGAACCTCTGCATTATATCATGCATTCATTCATTTATTCATAGAGTTTTATTGAGCATCTTCTAAGTGCAAGTTCTTAGGTGTAGCAGGGAGCCAGTGAGAGCAGCAGCCCTCTATTGCTTGCCTGTAGCCTGTTCTTCTGATGGCCCATGTCTGTCTCCCTCTCTGTCCCAGGTCAGCAGTTGAGTAGCTGGGGCCCCGGACGGCTTGAAGCCTTTTCACAGTGATGGCGGAGAAGCGGCCACAGGGCACCCTGGGGCCCATGATGTACGGCAAGCTGCCCCGTCTAGAGGCCGACTCTGGACCCCGGCACAGCTTGGCCCCCTCTGCTGCTAACCAAGACCCCTGCAACTATAAGGGTGCCTACTTATCCTGCCCCATGGAGGGTGCTCCCAAAGCAGCGTCTGAGCGGTTGGCGTCCTGGACCTCATACCCACCTTTGTATCCTACCAGCATAGCAGGACCCCCACTTCGGGAAGACAGCCTGTTGACCAGCTGTCTGCTCTATCGCCCACCAGCAGGAAGCTCTGAGAAGGTGCAGGATTCTGGCCCTGTTGAGCTCCTGCCCTTCAGTCCCCAGGCTCATTCCTACCCAGGCCCACCGCTGGCTGCTCCCAAACCTGTCTATCGCAGCCCTCTGTGTTACGGACTCTCGGCTTGCCTGGGGGAAGGGGCTGCGAAGAGGTCATTGGATGTTGATTGGACACTGATGACTGGGCCCCTGTTACCCCCAGCCGACCCACCTTGTTCTCTGACCCTGGCTCCTGGCAAAGGTCAGTCCGTGGATGGCACCTTTTTGCGTGGAGTGCCAGTTGGGGGATCTGGCAGAAACTCCTCTGGGAGCTTCTCCCCATGCCAGGCATTCCTGGACAAGTATCAGACCATCCATAGCACGGGCTTCCTGGCCTCCAAGTACGCAGGTCCTTACTCTGGGGATCCCAAGCAGTCATTGTCTGAGGGATTCCCCAGTCCTTGGACCCAGCTGGCCCAACCGTTGGGGCCAGCCTACCAGGATACAGTGCCCTCCCACTACCCACTTCCGCCTCCTCCACAGGCCCTGTCTTGCCCTCCAGCCTGTCACCACTCGGAGAAGCAGAGCAACTATAGCTCGGTGCCCCCGCTGCAGCCTCTGGGAGCCCACAAGGGAGTTGGGTACCTGGCTGGTGGGCTGAACGGCCCCTACCTGAGGCACCAGACAGCCCAGACACCCTGTATGCCCCCAGTGGGGCTGGACACTTATTCCTACCCTTCTGTCCCCCTCCCAACAGCCTCACCAGGCCTCAAGGTGGAGCCACCTCTTGCTCCACGGTGCCCGCTAGACTTTGCTCCCCAGTCACTAGGCTTTCCTTATGCACGGGACGACCTCGTTCTCTGTGGAGCATCCCCAGGGCTCAGAGGGACACCACTTTCCCAGAACAGTGTTCAGGCTGTTCCACAGCCCAGTGCTGTCCAGCAAGTGTGCCAGCCTATGCCTGCCAGTCAGCCATGCCCAGAGCCTCTGAGGCCTACAGAGAAGTCAGTGCGGGAACCTCAGGAGACCATGTGGCTGCCAAGCTGCAGGAAAGAGCAGCTCCAGCCCCAGCTCAAAGAGCACCCCGGGGCACCCATTGTCATCGGAGATAGCCCAGTTCCCCGCACCCCACCAGCACTCCCATCCTGTGCCCAGGAGCACCAGTCTCTTCCAGAGAACCAGGGCACACTGTCCCCTGGCTCTCCACCCATGCCCATTATCGACAATGTCTTCAGCCTGGCCCCCTACCGTGACTATCTAGATGTGCAGACACCGGAGGCCACATCTGAACCTGACCCAGCCCCAGCCCCCAAGGATAGCCATGACAAAGACTCCAGGGAGACTCCACCTGCCCAAGAGGCCCCTTTGAGGGTGCACTGCTCACTGAGGGAGGAGGTGGCACTGGACTTGAGTGTGAAGAAACCCGTGGCAGAGGCTTCTCCTGTCAAGGTCCCTAGCCCTGCGGTGCACTCCAAGCTCCCTGTAGCCGTGGGTGTGCCAGGCGTGGGGAGCACAGTCTCAGAGCTGTCTGGGGTGCCAGAGACCACAGAGGCCACCCCAAAGACCAACTTCCACAGCTCTGTGGCCTTCATGTTTCGAAAATTCAAGATCCTCCGGCCAGCACCCTTGCCTGCAGCTATGGTCCCATCCTTGCCCACCTCGGTCCCTGCCTCTGACCAGCCTGCACCCACCTCTACATCCATGCCCATTGGACTACAGATTCTCACCCAGCCCTTGCCTGTGACCTGCTTTGATCTCGCCCTGCCCAGTTCTCCAGCTGTATCGGTGGCCGCCCCAGCTCCTACTGTGGTTCCATCAGCTGCTCCAGCCCAGGCTCCAACTCCAGCTTCCACCCCTGTCACAGTGGACTCCCCAGAGCAATACTTTGCAGGGCTGCATGAGTCTCTGTGTGATGCCATTTCAGGCTCCGTGGCCCACTCCCCACCTGAGAAGCTGCGCGAATGGCTGGAGACGGCTGGGCCGTGGGGCCAGGCAGCATGGCAGGATGGCCAGGCTGTTCAGGGGCTGCTGGGCAAGCTGCTGTCCCAGCTGCAGCGCTTTGTGTGCACGCAGCAGTGCCCCTTCCCCCATGTGGTACGGGCTGGCGCCATCTTCGTGCCCATCCACCTGGTGAAGGAGCGGCTCTTCCCGAGGCTGCCACCCGCTTCTGTGGACCATGTGCTGCAGGAGCATCGAGTGGAGCTGCGACCCACCACACTGTCAGAGGAGCGTGCATTGCGGGAGCGAGCCCTCCGTGGCTGCACCTCGCGCATGCTGAAGTTGCTGGCGCTGCGCCAGCTGCCTGACATATACCCTGACCTGCTGGGCCTGCAGTGGCGTGACTGTGTACGCCGCCAGCTGGGTGAGCATGGGGCAACCCCAGTCGCCACCGAAAGCTGTGTGAGCGAGTGACAGGTGTGTGGGCTCTATGAGTGCTCACAGCCAGGGACCGAGGGATTCCTTCGCCTCTGGAAAGGGCAGGGAGGCCCTAGAACCTGGGAGGGGTAGGGGAGGGTGTGGGGATGGCTAGCCTTCCAGAGTGGGCTCTATGGACCCCCCATCCTTCTTCACCTCCAGTATCAATGACAGCCTTTGTAGTCTCCCTTGTAAGCCTCTGAACTTGCCAACTATGTCCACGTGGAAATGCTTTCTTGGCCATCCTGGCACTGCGTCCTCCTGGATCCCCTCTCCCTTCTCTGCTGTTCCTTCTGTTTGCTGCAGGCTTCTCTGGACTCTGGGGCTCTGCCCAGGACCTATTTATTATCTGAGGTTATTTCCCCATGTCTGTCTGTCCTAGTCTCCCCACTTCTGAGCTCCAATCCCAAATAACCAACTGCATGCTGGTTCCCACCTGGTGTCTCTGACTCTTAACTCCTCCCTGGCCACAATCCTGAGCTTTCCCCTAAGCTTATTTCCCACCTCAGAGATCAGCACCCCCTCTTACCCAGTGCCTCCTTCCTGAAACCCAGCACGGGTCTCCCCCCAACCCCCAACACCATTGCCTTCTGAATGCACAGTTTTCAGTCTTCCCAGGTATTTGCATTCATGGGAGTGTCCCAGTAAGTCGGGATCTTGTTTTGCCGTTTGCTTTTCCCACCTTACTTGTGCACGTTACTCTCCAGCATGCTCTATGCCTTTCAGGGCACCATCTGATCAACCCAGGTGGCTCGACCTCATCCTTTTGGGGACTTGTGCCCTGTCTCATGGTGGGCACCATCTCACTTCTTCCTCCAGGACTTCAGTGATGGTACCCAGGCAACAGAGCCCTAGGGGTCTGTTGCCACCTTTTCTACCTCAGGAGATGACAATTCAAGGCCCACTCTGTCTTTCTTGCTCCCTTGCCTTCTCACCACCCAGCCTCTGTGTGGCTGTGCCTCCGTAGAACTACCCCTTGCCGCCTCCCCATCCTAGCAGCCTTGCTCTGGAACCTTATCTGGTCCAGGCTCCAGGTCGGGTAGAGGAGGGGCAGATGTAGGGCCTGGCATCTGGGTGATGAGCATTGCTGACCCCTGAGCGCTTAGGAAGTTGGGGCATTTGACCCAATGGGGCACAAAGAATGTTAGTGGGAGCGTTCTGTTCCAAGAGAAAGAGAGACAGAGATACGTTGTATATCGTGCAGAGGCTGCCCAGCTTCTCCCCGTACAGTCAAGCTATCTGGGGCCCAGAGATGGGTCCATTTTTCCTGGGCTGCCTGCTGAACAGTGGGGCCCAAGGCACTTCACAGCCCCCTTCTACTTTGACTGGGGCTGTAAGAGTTTGGGGCCTGGTGAGAAAATGACTGGGGCCCAGTTTCCTGCAGCTAGCCGGATTTTAGTACCCCTGTCCCCACTCCTTTCCTGAGCTTTGGGTCCTCCTCCCATCTTTGTGGTGCCACCCTTCTGCGGTGTCCTTAAGACAGCACTTCCCTGGTGGTCTGTCTTCCAAGTAGCTGTGCTGTCGGTCAGGAGGACCCTCCCATGCCTTCTGATGCTCCCTCCACCTTTTTCCCTCTGTGCTCTGCTTTCAGGGCAGCCCTTGTAGGGCTTAGGCTCCTGCCCTGGTACCAGTGTGGCAGAAAATGATGGCAATCTGTGAAGCATGGCCCTCGCTCTGTCAGGCCCCTTTCCTCCTGTCCTTGCACCAAACAGCTTCTCCTGAGTAGTGCCCTCATCAGGTAGAGCTCTGGCGTTACCTAGGGAAAAGCACGCCCTCTCAGCTTAGTGGTTTGGCCAGCAGGCATATGCAGGGAAGAAGGTCATGATTTCTGTGACCCTGCTGTGGCCATCCTGGCCTGGGACAGCGCAGGACCACTGGTCTAGATAGCTTTGGAGTTCAGGAGATAGGACCTGAGGGTGTTGGGGTCTGTAGCATGACTGTGTGCTTATTTTCCAGGTGACTTTGACACTGAGGCTGGATTTGCGCCCTCCTCAGAACACACCATGGCCAGAGATGAGCCAGAGAGCCTCTCCCTGGCTCAGAAGTCACCCATCCCCAAGGCCAGGAAGCTGGGGAGGAAGCCACCAACTCCTATCCTGGAGAAAGCAGAGGCAACTGCTGGGGGAGGGTCTCACGGTGCCTCACCTGCCCGTCGTGCCAATGCTAGCCCACCCAGCCCCACACTGAGGGCCCGCTGCCGAAGACTGCTGACAACTGCCTGGCTTAATGGCCTGGCACTGCCCACTTGGGGCCACAAGGCCTCAGGAGCAGCTCTGCCCTTGCCCTGCCCACAGCTGTTGAGCAGCCAGAGCCATCACCTGTAGGACTGGTGGCTGGCGCTGTTTGGACAGCTACTCTTTGGTAATCACTCTACCCCTCCCTTCCGCTGGCCAGCTTCCCAGGTGAGGAGTGGATATGCCCTCAGAGTTTCTCATTTCATTCTTAGAGAAGACCTGTGTGCTTTGGAGTTCGACCAACTAGGGCTCAGATCCTGGCTCCTATGTTTCTTGCTGCCTAATTGGGCAAGTCACTTCCTCTCTTGAGCCCTTAGTTCCCCACTTGTAAAATGACAACACAGCCTACCTCACAGGGTTGTTGTGGGAATGATACCTGACACATGGTTTGCTCTCTGCTTCCTTCCCAGGACAGGGGCCCAGGTCCCAGCTAAGGCCTGGACTATGAGGCTGAGGCAGATGGAACCTCCAGAAAGTTTTTATGTGTCATAGGACTTTGTTATCTTGGAGTGGTACAGTCCATCCCACACTCTTTCTAGAGTCATTCCCCACGAAAGCCTGGGGTTACAGCCCCACAGTTTGGGCTTGGGCCCTAAACCCCAGCCTGCGGCTCCCTGGGGGAGTCCGCCCCTCCCACCCCCTGCTACAGGGGTGCAGGGATACTGCCTGGGGCTGGCGCCCTTGTTCTGGGCCTGCTGTTCTTACTCCTGGGACATCCCAGGCCTGTCCTAAGTTGATAGCAGTGACTGCCCTGAACTACCAACCTCACCTAGTGTATTATCCCAAGAAAGCTGTATGTTTGCTGGAAGCCAAGCATCTTCAGGTACTAGAAGGGACAGACTGAGTGACAGCTCAGAGTTGGGAGGTCTCTGAAGATATGGACTAAAGACCTTGCAGCTCTCCAAGCTAGAGCCCCCTCAGCCAGGCCTGCAGTGGGTTACCTCCTTGCAGTGCTAAAGTGAGCCCAGAGTCTGGCAAGTTGGGTCCTGGAGACCCCCCTGCCCAGGAGGCCCCTTGAGGGTGCATTGCTTGCTCACTGAGGGAGGAGATGGCACTGGACTTGAGTGTGAAGAAACCCCTGGCAGAGGCTTTCCCTGTCAAGGGCCCTAGTCCCATGATGCACTCCGAGCTCCTTGTAGCTGTGGGTGTGCCAGGCGTGGTGTCCCTGCAGAGACAGTCTCGGGCAGGCCGTTAAACATTAAAGCACGTGGGTTGGTTTGGGATCTGGGATTTAGCTCTGTGTGTGGGGGGGGGGGGGAGGTTGTGGGTTTTATGTGTCTTTACCAGGTGGTTGGCCCTTCACTGGGATGCTGCAGCTATTCTTGCTGCTGTCCCAGAGGGCTCTCATGCAGCCTTGTCCCAGCTAGCTCTGGCCATGTGGGCCCTTGTCACCTGTCCACTGGGCAGCCACTTAACCTGCTCAGGAACCCCCCCGAGACCCTCATAGGTCCTAGTGGTTGCTGATCTGTAGCCCACAGCCCGGTGAGACATGCTGGTCTCCAGGCCTGAGCATATGCCCCTCTCAGGACCAAGGATATGTCCACCAAGGCCTAAATGAACATAACTGTTCCCTACTCCCCATTCTGGTGATTTATCCTGCCGAGGGACAGCCCCTCCCACACTTTGGCAGGGCTCTATTCCTGTAGAGGTTTCTTCTCCAAGCTGCTGAGGTAACTTCCTGGACATGGTTTCCATTTCAGTTGCTCCGGGGGCCAGGCCACTAGGGCTGGTGAGACCTGCCCAGCCTTGACCCTGACTTGGGTTTCGCTGAGCTCAATTACGCCATTCCTCCTGTACACAGCTACATTGTGGCTCCTGTGGCTGGAGCCTAACCCTGCGTCGGACCAGGGTTTGGAGTGGCAGCACTCACCTCCAGTAATGGACAGGCTGGCATATATGCAACCCCAATACAGCATGGTCACCACAATAACAACCCGAGGAAAGGGTGCTGTGGAAGCTCACCAGGGACCTGTCCTAGTACAGGGAACGCGACATGGGGCCAGACGACATGGCTCTAATTCCAGCTTATTGCACATCAACTCATTCAGTCCTGGAACCTGGAGAATGGGGTGTGGTCCTTGTCTACAGAATACTCAAGTGTAGAAAGTTAGAACTGAGACTACTTAGACAGGATTGCAACATAGGTGGAATTGCTCTGAATTCCCAGGCCAAGGTCAGCCTCACCCACCTCACTGCCCTGGTCTTACTGGCTTTGGCTGTTTCTTCTTTATTTTCCATTTTCCTTCCTCCCCGCTTTTTCCTCCCTCCCCACTCCGTCCTTCCTTGCATACCTATTGTGCCCCTGTTCCCTGGCAGGCATACTTTGTGTTAATGTTGCTGTGGTTACAGGGCAGGGTCTGAGGCCTCGGCATCTGTCCACTTGTGTCCTAGGGGATCATAATGGTGCAGAGGCTGGGTTAGAGTCCTGTGCAGCTGGACATGGTGGGAGGAGGCGGCTGCTCCCCGTGGCACATCTCCGTCCTGGGAGTCCCAGTCTGAGGGCTCTGCTAAGGGAAGAGCCATGACAGTGTCCTGAGGAACCCCAGCCCTGAGGTGGTAGGGCCCGAGGGAGGCAGTGTTACCACCCCTCACTTTATCACAAAGCCCATTCCATTCTTTGGAAAGAGAGCTGATGTCTAAGAGCTGAGGGCAAGGAACGTGTGCTGGTGCTCATGTCCCCCACCCCTCAAATGAGCGGGCCTGCTCAGCCTTGGTTGAATATACTACTCTTGCCTGACAGTTCCCCTCAAACAAAATCACCTGGAAAATGGGCTTCAGGACCCAGGCATCTGAGTTTTTAATCGAACTGCCAAAGTGATTCTGAGGTGTTCAGGGATCATATTTTGAGTGACATGGACCATTCCTTCTAGGTTACAGATGGGGAAACAGTTTTAGGAACTTGACGTCAAGCTGGGCTGTGTCAGTACCTGAGTCAGTCCTTGAGGGTTCTGGGCCAGCTCGGAGGCCAGGAACTGAAACGTCTGCACTTGCTTCACCTCCATTGCCTAGCCCAGGAGGTGGACTAGGCTAATTCTCTGCCTCTGGTGGCCTTTCTAGGCAATGTGTGGGTCTCTTTCCCTGAGCTAATAAAATGAGGGTGGCACTCAAGGCTCTAGCTTGAGTGAGGCCCTGCCTCCTGGCGACCCCACTTGGCACCCAGGCCCAGTACAAAAGGCTGAGGGGCCTGGCCATCTGGCTTTGCTGCCAGAAGTTAAGCCTGAAAAGAGGTGAGTGAGATGACAACTCTGGAGGGAGGAGGAGAGCAGGGCTCTGCCTGGGGTTAATTATCAATACCCTCACTAACCCAGGTGCTTCCTGCCCTGGCTCCTTTTCACTGAAGGGTTTCCCTCAGCCGCCTTGGGACTGGAGCAGGGCCCAGCTGATCTGACTGTATCTCTTCTGACCCCACAGTCCTCACTAAGACGGAAGTTGTGTCTCTGCTACCCCTGAGGCTCGCGCCCAGCCGAAGAAGCCTGGGGCAAGTGTGGGCAGGAGGAAAGCTGTGGGGGGTGCTCCAGCCTGTGGGCACTGAGCCCTGCTTCTGGCTGTTCTCTAGGCATGTCCCTAGTAGCTCTTCTAGTCCCCAACCCCAAGGAGAAGCCCCTGGCCCAACACTCGCAGGCTCCAGGGCAGGGTAGGTGTAGCAGAGCCCCTTTTATCTCCTCCTGGGCTAGACACAGCCCCTGGACTGGACTGGAGCTGGCAGGCAGATGGGGAATTCCTTCGGTACACTGCTGTCTCTGTAGGAACACCAGCCCTGAGCATTCTAGCCGCTGCCCCTCCAAGGCTCCCGTGTCATTGGAGGTATCCACCTCACCTGACACCCCCTGCATTAGCCTGGCCTGCTCGCCGTGCCTCCAGCGCCCCTGCCTCTGTCCTAGAGAAACCCAGCTGTCAGGCCGCAGCGTCTTCTTGGGGCAGTGAGAAGCGGGTATGCTTCTGGGAAGGGAGTGTTGAGACCCTGAGCCCCTTGGAAGGACCTCAAGAGGCCCCTCTTAGGATTACCGGGCCTGGCAGGGGGTGCCTTGCTTTCTCCACTAGCCATGGGATAGTCATGCATAGACCCTTTTCTCAGAGTGGGGTGATGGGGCCAGGGCAGGCTCCTCTCCAAGCCCTCACTGTAGCTCCTAGCCCCTCTCCTACCTGCAGTGGAGATTCTAAGCAGAGCCGCGTTTTTCCTACATTCCCCCCAGACCCAACCCCCCCACCCCCTCATCAGAGGGACAGGGCCTCTGCCACTCTTATATCTGCGGAACTTGGGCCTTTCTCTTGAAGTGTCCTCAAGTGAAGTCTAGGCTCCCATCCACCCTGAGTGGACAAGAGACCCTGGAGACTGCTCCTACTCAAGGAGACCTGGGTCCCCCTCAGACCTTTGCATGCCTTTCCATGATGCTTGGCACCTCCCCCATGTGGGAGAGCCAGGGTAGCCCTGTCCAACCTTCCCTGCTACCCTTTAGCTTGCTACACCTCGAGGCCCGAGGACACACCAGGACCCAGCTTACAGAGGTCAGGTGCTCCCCACCCCCACCTACCACTATCCCATGTCCTCAAGTCCCTCAGGTGGCAAGGGTCCCCAGCTGCTACAGGACTGGCCCTCACTGGATCTGCTCGGTGACTTCCAGCCCACTGGGCGTCCCAGGTCCCCGGCTTCTGGGAGCCAAATCCTTTCCAGCTGTCGCCAGCCTGGAGCCTTCTTCCACACCTGTGAGTGCTGTTTCACGGGGAGTTAGCTTGCCCTTCTCCTGGCCTCATGGGCACTGCCGGCCCCACACCCCTGGTCTCCTGCAGTGTCCCTCAGGACTGGTGAGGGGGCCTCTCCTGGTTCGGCTGGTGCCATGCTCTCTACTTTCCGTGAAGCCCCAGCAGGTAGCCCCATTCTCTTGTGGTTCCCAGGCCCACCTGTGATGTGGGCTCTAACCCGCCAGCTGAGCCCAGCCCTGCAGAGGAGGTGCTGAGGCTGAGGCCACCCCCTTGCTCACTGGCCTCCCTCCCCGGGACCCCTCTGGAGTCTGGTGCCATGGACCCCAGGGGAACACAGCCCAGTCCCTCTTCTCCTTCACCTATTGGGACTTTGCCTGTTCATGGCCCCTGACTGCTGGGGGACCCAGGCCAAGGGCCCAGCCCACAGCCCTCTCCTTACTGACTGCTGCCCCTTCCACAGGGTGGACCGTTAACCTCCTGGACAGAGGTATAATGACCCTCAAAATGTTCTTCTCAAGCAGAGAGGCTGCTTGACACCAGGCTTTGGCTAGCTGGGCTGAACTAGGCAGTGGGAGTGTCTCCAAGGTTACCTGGATAGAGGGACTCACTTAGTCCTGAGGAACCAATGCTCACAGCTCCTGCCATATTCGTGTTGGGGGTATCCCACCTCAGGGACCCAGCTCTCCCATCATGGCTGCTGAGATCCCCCCACTCTGACTCACCCAGGGGTTGGGGAGACCACCCCAAGAGACCACAGCCAGCTGGAAGGAGTGCCCAATATTTCTGCAGCCCTTTATGTGGAGCTCACTTTGGCAGGAGGAAACATGGACTGTGGGAAGGCTGCATGTCCCCTTTTCCCCGCCTGTGGTGGGAAGGCTCTCAGCTCAGGAGTCTGACCAGAAGATGGGACTGCTCGAGCCCAGGCCTAGTTCTACCCTCAAGCAGAGACCCCTCTCTGTTTGTCTTCCCAGCTGGCCATGTGGCGCAGAGCCCCAGTGATGTCTGGGTGGCTTGTGTCCCATCCTACTGTGTCCTCTGTCCCCGAGGGGAGTCTGGCTCTAGTCCTGGCCTGGAACTTGGGAAGAACCCTGAGAAATAGGACACCTTTGTCCCACCAAGAAAAGCTCCTGGTGTCTAACTGGACTCAGATTAAAAAAAAACAGAGCCTAGCAGCCATTTCTACCCAGGGGCCTCTTTCACAAACCGCACCTGAGGGGAGAGGCCTAGCATTGAACTGCCTGCCTGCACTGCTTTTCTGCCATCTGAGCCAGACCTTACAGAGAAGTTCCTGGAGTCCTATTCCAAGCAATAGGAGTGAGGCTTTCCTCGTCCAATTGGAGCTGCGCAGTACCAATCATTTTGAGTAGCTCCATTCTGACCAGTTAGGACAGTGCCTTTTGGACCAATCAAACTATGAGGATCGGGAGTCCTTATTTGCATGAGGACAGACTAATCAGGGACCAGGGGCAGAGACTTCTGTCTCCATAAGCCGGCTTCCCTCTGGCTTGGGTAGTGCATATTTCCTTTCCACAAAAGACTGAAGACTCTGTTTCCCTAACTGAGCTGGAACACTGGACGTGTCTCGCTGGAGCGGAGCGAAGCAGACCAGCACAGGTCAGAGCAGACTGGCATAGAACAGAGCAAAGCACCTCACAAAGCAGACCATCAAGGAACAGAGCAGAGCTGTCTGGCCAGACAGGGGCCTGGCCCCAGGGCTGCCTCATAGCCATGCTGTTGTCACATTGGTGCTGTATCACAATTGAGCTATTTTACACTGAATAAAGTTTCCTTCTTCACTGCATCCCAAGTTGGG